AGAAGACAAGCTACAGTTACTAATTTTAACTAATTAGCTTACTGTTGGTACTAACCATTTTAATGTTTTTTTTTCTATAATATCATCTTTTACCTTAATTGGATAATGTAGCAGTGAAGATACAGAGAAAACGGGGAAGAAGGAGAAGGGACACACACACACAGGAAAGCGCTGCACGTCAAACTCAGACTGCTGCACTGCAGCCATGTGACGTGTGGTCGCCTGCTCATCCACTGAGCTCACGTGGCCCCCAGTTCACTTTTATTTATATTGTACCAATTCACAACAAAAGCTGCCTAAAGATGCTACAATATTTGAGAAAAAACCTCAAGAATCAGCTGGTCTGGAAGCACTTAGTGACAGTGGGAAGGGAAACCTCTCTTTTAACAGGAAGAAATTTCCAGCAGTACCAGGCTTAGCATTTAAACGCTGAAATTTCAAACACAAAATATGACTAAACATTTTACTTTCTTTCCTTGCAGTGGATATCAGTACATTTATGGTGAGATAAATTAAGCTCAACTGTATGTAAATAGGGTGAAACATGACTCTGTATGTGTGTATGTGGTCTCTGGTTAGGATAAATCTGTTATTCTAATTTTTTACCCCCAGGTGTGGGACAGTTATTGTTGACTGCTAACATCTTGCTCTCATTATCACAAATAGCAAATAAACTTTTGATCTGTCTTTTAAGAAATAATGTTTCTTTCACCAAAAATGTACATATTTTCACTCAACTAAAGTTAACAAGGTCTTTATGACAAAGACACATCCAAGAAAAGTGAAAACTCTGCAGATTCAATAATGAGAATTCAAAATAGGGGGAAAAGACTTGCTGACTGCAGAGGAAACATATAAACATTTACAATGCACTTTAGTGTCAAATTCTTCACAAGGTCCTTCAGTTCCTCATACCTGAGCTACTTTCAGGGGATATGTTCCTCTTAGATTCTCAGGAACATTGAGTGGAGGAATAACCCAGTCTCTCTTCCTTCTCCTCACCCCTCCACCAGACTTGGGGAATTGAAGAACAGACACTTGTGGATCATTGGTAATCTGGGAAAACATGCAGAAAGCTTGGATAGAAGAACACTCACAAATTGACAAACTGCAATAAAGACTACAGATTATATTGTATATCTCAGAATTACACAACTTAGAGAAAGGAGAGGTAAGTCAGAGGGAGTGATGGAGACTTAGCTCAGAATCAAACAAACTTTTTTTTAAGCTTCAAGATATTGTCTCCAGGCCTGTAGCATGAGGGATAACTTTGTGTATCCCAAAGTCTGCTGGAGAGGACGCAGAAGCAACTGTTAAAAGCTCCATCCATGGACTTCCGTTTTCCGGTGTTCTGACAAAACGTCCTACTTTGGCAAAACGTCCTACCATAAGTAGTTTATGCACATTTCTGCCGTCACAGAGTAATTCCAGCACAAAT